CAAATGTTTTTGTGTAGGCAGTTGTAGTGGTGATAAGGTTGGCACCACTTTTCGCGGCGTATTGACCACGGCGGTCACGGATTTTGACTGCAAAGGGCAAAGCAAATGCCGCCAGGATGGACATCGATGAGTCGCCAGCAATGTTCTTGGTGGATAGAACACCACGACAATTTCTTCGTGTATTTTGTTGGTATCATCTCCACGGCTATTATTGTCGAAATAGCGATAGTACATGTTCAGTATCTCTCTCCAGATAAACTGCTGGGTGAACGAAGAAACATAATTTATTCTCTTGTATCTATTTAGGGTAGACTCCGATTCTACTGTAACAATATTTGAAAACAATTGTAATCCTAGAATTTACCGGTAATCGAAAAATGTACGCATAAAAACAGTATAAACCGGTAATTTACTGCGGTGCCAAAATGACCTGGGCGTTGGAAGCCTCACTTCTCAAAATTAGCAATGGAGCATCAATTGGAGCAGCTACTTCGAAGCAGAATTGGACCCCCACTAAGCATATTGCCTGGCTGTCACAGGCGCACGGTAACGCATTTTTGGATATGTGCTATCATCAATATATTTTACCTAACCGTCTAGTTGTAGACGTTCAGATGTCGACGATGGAGAGCGTGGAACCTAGCGTCCTGTAACCACGTCGACTATTGCGTGGAGCAACTCGACCTCGATGAGATGAAGAGATTCATCGGAGAGCAATCGAAAAGAGGACAAAAAGACGCGGCCATCGGTCAAGTTGGGAGGCATGTAGCGAAGTCGTTCGTAGATTCGAAGGTAGGGTTTGAGTAGCGAAACATTCCTGACTTACTGACATGGGATGGTATAGCTGTGTAGAACGATGGTAGTCCTGAGAAAGGATAACCTATTGAATTTAGCTATTTTGCGCAGACGGCTGTTTATTCTTCAAAACAAAGGCATCCTTGAGGCCAGCGACTCCGGACTTCCGAGCAAAGACTATTACACGCGCAATATACAAGCTTTAACGAGTATGGTCCGAAGAATCCAGCAATTGCTAGTGTGGCGAAGCGCGGTGAACACTTTGCCGACAAAGGGGCGTATAGTGAGACCCGGACTTGGGGGTCATCTTCTAG